GGGCCCGGGAGCAGCGGAAGCGGCGTGAGTTCATGATGCAGAGCCGGCTGGAGTGCCTGAGGGAACAGCAGAATGGCGACAGCAAGGCTGAGCTCAACATCATTGCCTTGAGCCACCGCAAAACCATGAAGAAACGGAACAAGAAGATTCTAGACAACTGGATCACCATCCAGGAGATGCTGGCCCACGGCACTCGCTCAGCTGATGGCAAGCGGGTCTACAACCCTCTGCTCTCAGTTACCACCGTCTGAGCCACCTGGATGGGAGCTAGCTGTATGCCAGGTGCTGGCCCTCTGCCCCAACCCAGGTTCAGTGAGCCTCCAGGGACCCCGCCCTGTACTCTCCCTTAGAATCTAGTGTGTGTCTGTGTGTGCACAGGTGTGTGCGTACCTGTCTTTGTGTGTGTGCACAGGAATTTGTTGCCAGAGAGAAGCCTCTTGAGAAGCAGGGGCACCCCTTCGGTTGTGTGCATGTGTGTACGCAATACAAGCCCATGAGCCCAGGCACATGCATGTGCACACACACTCATGCACACCCCTCCAGAGCTCTCTCAGTGTGGGACCTTAGGCACAGGGAAGTTGAGCTGAAAAGGAGTTGAAGAGGATTGTCCTAAGCACAAGAGAATGTCCAGCTTCCGAGCTGAGCAGTCTCTTCCCCTGCTGGGAGCAGCCACTATTTGTAGACAAAGGCAACCCTGATTTTTGTGGTTTTTCTCCCTTCCTGTGCTTGCCAATTGTTTTTCTGTTTTGTGCACCTGCTCTGGGGACTGGCAGCTCCTTCAGGCAGCCTGACAAAGGTGGAATCCCCTAGTGAAGGCTGGGAAGGAGGTAGGTGGGTGGGGGGAGTAAGAGGGAGGGTTGGGTGGGAGGGAAGGGATGGGAACAAAGGGGAAAATGGGAAGCAGCTTTCCTGCTGGCCTCTGCTCTGAGGTGTGGGGACAAGGAGCCTCTGACGTGGCTTTTGAGGCTCATCCTGGGGCTACCTCCTCTGAAGAGGGAGAGCTGAAACTGAGGGGGCTGAGGGGGCTGTATCCATCCAAGAAGAAATAATTGAGCCTAGGGCTGTGCCTGACTCCATATAGAGTGTGGCTTCTCTTCTGAGGGTCATGCTTGTACATGAGGAGTCCAGAAGCCAACGTCCATGAATAATAGCAAAAGACCTTTGTGACAAGAACCACATGGAGTTGAGGGAATGGCCTGGACCCGTCAGAGGTGTGCCTGGCCAGCTGGGCCAACGGGGGAGAAGATGTCCCACACCCTACTCTGCAGGTGTGCACTGGGCAGCCCTTGGGGACTGGTGCATTTATTAAGAGCTGCCTCAAGCTCCCCAGGGCCCCTCGGCCTCAGCCTCAGATTGGAGTCAGACAGGCTGCCCGTCCCTGCCCCCCACTGGCATTGTGACAATAAAGCAAGCTGCCTTTTTATGGTGACTCCTGGCCTCCCTGTGTTCATTTTCATCGTGCTAGAAGAAATCAGTTTGGAGTGGGAGAGGGGCAGCAGGGCAGGCGAGGACTGGGACTAATTGAAAGCTGTGCCTCTGCTTTTCTTGGTGTGTCACTAAGGAACAGCAAGGTCTTCTGATGTCATTGTCCTGTATTCTGGGAGGAGGTATGACAGGGTTGCTTGAATCATTTCAGGGGTGTGACATGGCCACAGGGTGGTTCCCAGATGCAGGGAAGGGTGGCAGAGGCCTGGCTCAGGACTGGTGGCAGGGCTTGCCACTGAATGAGGCCAACACCCATTCCCCGGTGGAGCCTGAGAGAAGAGGGTTCCACTCATCTTCTCCCCCTCTGCCTTGGAAAAGCCCTAGCAGGGGCAAGGAGCTGGGAGCGTCTCAAAAGCACAAATTATCTTCTCCATTTGGGGATCGCACAGTGCCTAGCAGGTAGAAGATGCTGAGTAAAGTTTTGGCCAAATGGAAGAGTACCTGGGTGGCCACAGAGGGCCCTTCTGGTTTGGGGACTTCCAGATGTGCAGACAGATGCTGGTCGTTCCATTCAGTGAGCAAACCACTAGGCATCAAGTGCCAGGAATCATGCTACATGCTGGGTGGGGGCCAGTTCCCTGAAGGCCAACTCGGTGTGGCCTGTTCTGTGCATGGCACTCCCTGGGGTGGGCAATGTGGCCATGGAGGGAGCTTCTCTTGAACAGACGCTGGACACAGCAGCCAAAGTGGGCAAGGACACATTAAAATAAGTCTCTTGAAACAACAATGTAGACCTCTTGTTAATTCTGCTAATTGACTGAGATGGGCTTGAGCGAGGAATCGAGTTTATTTTCCTATAAGCCCAGTGCCCTGCTGGGAAGGCTGGTTCCCAAGGGGGCCACATCTGTCTGGCTGTCTGAGCAGCTGGGAGGGAAGGCCCAACGTGTCACACTGCAGGCTGGAACACCAGCAAGTGGGAAGGGAGTAAAGGGCTTGGTGAAAAGGGACAATTGGGAGCAAGAGGGGTGGGGGCAGGAGATGCCCCCTTTTCAGCTCAGTCCTCTGACACTTCTTGCTGAGGATGAGGTTCCTAGACACTTGTGACCAGTCTGTTTTCCTGGAAGGGATACAGCCCCATGGAAGAGGATGGGTCTCCCCTGCCACAGAAAATGGGTGTGGGGAGTTGGAGACAGAAGCCAGCTGACCCCTGGGCATCCCTCTCTAGCTGCTGGCTCACTTTGATGGCTCTAGAGCAGCAATTTCCAACTGGTGTGTTGCAAGAATTTTAAAAATATGCAATGCTTGACTAAACCTCTTTTCCCTTAGATTGTCAAATTAAGAAATGACAGCAGCTGACACAATAGCCATCCATTGTGAATGAATAAAAATCATACCTTTTTGGGTCAGATCGGCAAACATTTCCTGGCCCTAACTGGTGTTGCTCAGTGGATTTAGTGCCGACCTGCAAACCAAAGGGTCACTGGTTTGATTCCCAGCCAGAGTATGTGCCTGGGTTGCAGGTCAGGTCCCCAGTTGGGGTATGTGAGAGGCAACCAATTGACATTTGTCTTGGGCATTCATCAATATTTCTCCCTCTTTCTCCCTCCTCCTAAAAAGTAAATAAACTAATTTTTTCTGGTGTTTTGCAGATTTTTAGTAATTAATGTATGTGTGTTATGAGCTGCTTGAAAGGTGTCCCACTCTTGCTCTGGTGGGGAGTTGGTGGGGGAGGCCCAGTGCTCCAGGAATGTGGGCCAAGACAGGCCTAGAACCTGGAGTCCCTTGGCCATATGAAAGCCAGCACTGGGGCGTGGCTCTCACTGGTTCTTGGAGGGTTGACAGCCCTTGGCAATTGATACCTTGGAGCAGTGACTTCACATTTGGGGCTCATTGCCATTGGGCAGATGGTGGAGTCATCACTGGGCTTCACGTAGCTGCCACTGCCCTGCCCTGCCCAGGCTGTTTGCTCAATGCACGACAGGAGGACCAGCAGTCTCCTTCACTTTGTTAGAGTCAGGGTGAGCCCTGACCACCACCAGCAGGCTTCCCCTTGGGCTCCCTCTGCTGGTCTTGCTCTGGAATCCAGAAACTAGCAGCCAGTAGCCCAAGGGGCTTGGTCCTCTCCTTACCCCGGACTCTCCTGCTATACTGCTTTTGGGGGTGAGGACCCAGCTCTTCTTCAGAGCCTCCCCACTCCTGCTAGTTGCTCCCATCCCAATGAGCAGAGAGAGGCCAGTGTCCCATAGTCTTGGAGGAGGTCCCCAGGCAGTCCCACACAGGTCATAAGCCACTCTCACCCCTCCCAGCTCTTACTGCTATGGAGGACCCAGCCCAGAAATGGGAGCCCCTGCTCTCCCAGGTAGGTTTTAGGCGTACCCTCCTTTGCAAGTGCAACCTCTTGAGGCTTTTACTGTGTTCACACAGGCCTATTACACAGCCAATGGTGATCAAGCACCCACCACCAGAATGGCCCAATGACCCCTCACTGAGAACCCCATGGGAGGCAGTCACCGGGTCAGAGCCGAGCGCACTGACTTGGACCGTGTGTGGGAAGGACTCCCCTGGGATTTGCCATCTAGCCTTTGGATCCCAGGTTCTCAGCACCTCTGCAGCCATGGGTGGCACCAGTGAAACTGCTCTGGGGAAGGCTGATGTCTGGTGTCCACAAGGGGCACTAGGAGGGCAAAGTGCAAGGCTGAACTGGAGGGGGCTAGCAATGGGCTGCACAGAGGCATGGGGGTCAGGGTCACCTTTTTTCCTGTGCCTTCTGTGTCCCACCTGCCACCATGAAGTGGGAGCACTGGGAAGCAACATGGAAGGGGACAGGGTACAATGTTTAGAATGACCATGCCCCAGGCTGCCAGGTGTATCAGCTTCAACTGCATCAGTAAAATAGGAGCACTCACTTCCCCTGGCTGGCATAGCTCAGTGGATTGAGCACGGGCTGTGAACCGAAGTGTCGCAGGTTCGATTCCCAGTCAGGGCACATGCCTGGGTTGCAGGCCATGACCCCAGCAACCACACATTGATGTTCCTTCTCTGTCTCCTTCCCTTCCCTCTCTAAAAATAAATAAATAAAATATTAAAAAAAAATAGGAGCACTCACAATGTACCACAGGAAAAGCACAGAAAGTGCGTCAGCACACGGCTTTGCCCTGGGCTCCAGACACAGGAGCCACTGCAGGCTAGGCGCGCTGTAGTCTACATGTGTTGCTGACTGCAGAGTCTCAGGGAAGTTAGGCAGTTGCACTCCCAGTGGGAGGTAGTCAGAGGGGCTAGGGCATGGCAGTCCTCTCTGCCAGAAGACTGGCATGTGCTGGGGGAGAAGACAACTGTCCCATTCACACCAATGCAGGCAACCAGGCGAGGTGCACAATGGGCACTAGGGGCCCCAGGCAGGGAAGGCTCAGCTGGGGGCTGAGGAAGGACAGCCTGCAATAGCAAAGAGCAAAGCAAACCCATGAGACAGGAGTTTCAGCCCCATCCACACTCAGTGCTGCACTGTCTGGGGTGGACCAGGAGATTCTGGCTGCCCAGCTCTGACTTGTGTGGAAGGCAAGGTGTGGCAAAGTAAGTGAGGAGCCACATAACTTTATTGAAAGAAACAAGGGGGCTGAGGGTGCTGCCCTCAGGCCTGGATGTGGCTCTTGGCGTTGAAGGCCAGGTAGTAGATCACTAGGCCGATGACTGCGGCCAACACCTCGGTGGAAACCCAGGGCCCGTTCCAGGTGCCCTGCAAGAAAGGAGACCAAAGCATGCTCAGGGGATGGATGGGCAAGGGGCCCAGCCAGCTCTGGTTACCCTCCTTCTGGGGCATAAAGACCCACTGGCCAACTATGGCTCAGCCCCCAACCCCTAAAAAAGGATGAGGTTTGCTCTGTGCTTGCTGTTTCTCAAGACCAGGTCAGCCTCTTCGGCTCACTCACCCGATGGTCCACACTGACTGTGAACAGGGGTGGGATGATGGAAATGTCCTCGTTATTTCTCTGAGCCTGTAAGGGAGGTGCTGGAGTTAGGGGTGCTGCTGAGTGGGGTGGGGTAGGAGAGGCAGGAACACTGACTTGAGTCATGGAAGGAGAGGAGAGAAATGGGTAAGGGAGAAACACAGAAGGTGCAAGCATGGGGAATGGGTGGGGCAGGTGGGTAGGAAGGCACCTGCCCAGCCTTCCTGCTCCTGTAAGCAAGGCCCCAAGTGGCCCAGACCTCCCAGGGAGGAGGCTGTATCAGGAGAGTGCCCTCCCTCCTACAAGCCTGGAAAGGGCTCGAGGTGATACTCACCTTCCTCAGGAGACTGTAGGACTCCTCATCGAAGAATCTGACCTCATAGGTGCCTGCGTGGGCACTCTTATGGTCTAGGCTCCAGGACACCTGGCATGGGTGTTTGGTACAGGGTGGATACAATGGACACAACAGGGCTCCCCTGCCAGTGCTAATAACCCTGCCCCTGCTTAACCAGGCCACCTCCAGGGTTCCAAGTCATACCAGTGAGCGGTGGTCTCCCCCCAAATTGACAACCAAAGCATCTCTTACCTGATAGCGCCCCACATCCTGGCCCCGGGTGACAGGAAATTGTTTTCCACTGACATCAGCATAAAGAGCCATGTTCTGGGGGAGGAGACAAGGGGAGAGTCATGGTCCCTTATCTGGCTGTTGGCCAAGGCCCCACGGTGTTGTCTACAGCAATACTTGTGGCCTGTGCACAGGGAAGCTGGGCATATTTGTGGACTGCAGTGTGTCTGGCGGGGATACCATAAGAATCACAGAGGTAGGCATGGCACAATGCAGAGCCTTGCCAGGAAGCCTACAACCACAGATGCTGTCAAAGAGTGGGATGGGGCCACACTCCCCTTATGACCTGGCCTCCCTAAACCACAGCAAACCTGTTAACTGTGAACAGGGTGGGATGATTAAAGCGTCCTCATCATTTCTGAGCCTGTAAGAGGGTGCTGGGGCCAAGGGGTGCCCAATGAGCTGCCCAGGAAGTATACCCAAAAGGCCCAACCTCCTTCTTTGGACCTTTGGGCTGCAGGTTAAGGTCAGGGGCTGAGGCCAGGTCTCCTCAGTCTTAAAATTACAAAATGCCCACATGGACATAGACCTTGGCAAAGACAACCACAAAATGGATGACGGTTCCTAGGTACTGACCCCTGGCTGTTTCTCACTTTTGCGTACATGCTTTCAAGACAGCAAAGTGTTTACCTACGTTACTGCACCTAGACAAAGCAAACCAGGCAGCTTAGGAGAATGTTCTTTAAACACCTGCTAGAATCTGATCTTGGAGTGCCCTGATCCTTCCTATACCTGTGAATCAAAATCCATACAGGTCACCGAGTCTGACCCCATCAACTGCCAGTTGAGGAGCTGATGCCCAAGGTCCCAGGTTCACTACCCGCCTCTCACCCCAGCACCTTCCTGGCTGGACACCCACTGCCTCACCTGGACCCTGTTCTTGCATGTCAGGGAAATCTCCACGATGAAGACAGTCTCAGTGGAAATGACGGCGTCAGAGGTTGTATAGTAGGAAGGGGTGATCTGGGGCTCCACGCAGGCCTCTGCTGTGGGGAGGAGGCAGAGAGATGCCTGGGTAAAGCCTAGCTTGTGCATGCCAGGCCAGGGGGCAGAAGGGACCACCCTGACCCCAACTCCCACTTCATCGGCTGAGGACACATGGGGCCCTTTGGATGCTGCCAGGTAGGATGTAGGAGACACATATAAATGATCAGTCAGAAATGCAGTGGCAAGGAGGGGTGGGCAATGGGAAGGCTTTGTTCAGGTAGAACCTCAATGCCAGGGTGAAAGAAGAGGTGAGTCTGTGTGTGGGTGACTGCATGGATTCACTGCACAACTTGCATCTGTCCCTGGACCTACAGGCAGGGAAGCCATGTGATGGTTTGGGGCTGCAGCTTGCCCTGGCCTAGAGCACCCCAGAAGCCCAGGGGGCTAAGCTGACATCAATTCAGAGCCATGAAGAGCCCTCAAGTTTACTGAAGGCATCCTCCGCAAACCCCAAACATGGTGCTGCTAGGCAAGCACATGGGCTTTCAAGATGAAGGGAAGGGTCTCTGACCCCAGCCACGGTTGACAGAAGGCCAACACTGGCCCCAGTGTTTCCCAAGGGAAGGGAATGGGAGAAGTTCTGGATCCAGATACAAAACTTGTCTCCTTGAACAGGGCTGCCCCGAGAGAAAGAATGCTGCCTTAGCCATCTCTGCACTGCTGGAGGCTACAGAGAAAGGGTGCCACCTAAGTGATGGGGCGTCAAGTAAATGCTACCAATAGTAAAGTTCTCAGCCAACTGCTCTCTGAATGTAGTGTCTGGCAGCGCCATGCCTTAGGGTTGGGACAATCAGAGGTTTTGGGTTTGGACATCCAGAAGATGCCTGGGAACACTGGTGGGGCTGGTTCCCAGGAGCCACATCCCGCAGATCCTTCTGCGCCCTGTTAAGCTTGGCCTTTTTCTTGTGGGCACTGTGGAAGCACCAGAGGGTAATACAGCCAGGTTTGTCCTTTCCAGACATCACTGACTACAGCATGGGGAGTTCCTGAGGGATAAGAGAGAAGGGCACAGGCAGGAGGCCTTTTAGGTTGGTGAAACAACCCAGGCACCAAGGATGCTGGCCTGAAGTAGGGCAGGTAAAGTGAATGCACAGAAAAGCACCCCTTACCCAATCCAGCCCCTTGACTGCTCTGGCTCTTGCAAGGATGTCCTTCTCAACACACTTCTGGACTCCAGTCTGACCTCAATCCTGCCACTAGGTGTTAAGAATCTCCCAAGAATGTCAACTGATCTGACTGGGGTGGCTCAGCTCTGCTGAAAAGCCCTTTAAGGTTACCTCAGGGCCTTGGGTAAAGTCAAAGGTCAACAGTCTGGCCTGACACTCAAGGCTCCCGCTTACCTTAACCTCTTCAGCTCCGATCTAACTTGCTCACGCTCATGGCCACTCTGCCTGGGCGGTACCTGCTCCCTCTTCACTTAGAGTTCCCTTCCCGGGAAGGCCTGGCCCCACCGCACTTGGTCAGGTGGCTCCTCTCCACCAGTCCAGATTCTCACCCCATCACCCTGCGCTGTAGAGCTCTGTTCCTGTACGACCCTCTTCCGACACCAGGAGGTCCGGGAGAGGGAACAGGGACGTGTGTCACTTTCTCTGCTGGAGATGGGGGCTGGGTGCACGAGAGAGGCTCTGAAACTTCCTCGAAGCGGACGGGGCGGGGAGAAAGACTTGGCTGTTTCTTCCTGCAGCCTGGCTGCTGGGTAAAGGTGTGTGGTGCAGGAGCGCGTGGTGGCCTTGGTCGTAGCGCCCCGAGGCCACCTGCCTCTCAGAAGAAAAAGGCCCAGAACCCCGTTTAGCCCGCACCCCTCCTACCCGCCACGCACCACCAGTGGTGGGAGAGAAGCTCGACAGAAACAAGCTCCTGCCATGCCGCTACCTGAGCAGCAGGAGAGGCCCGACATCAGGAGTAGCGCCAGGGCGCCGAGAGATGCCAGCGCCACCATCGCTTCTTCTATGCCGAGGTAAAAAGGGAGCGACTCTACTGAGCACGAGGGGCAGATAAGGAAGCGCGACGCGTAAGAGAACGCAGCAGCCAATCAGACGCCGGCAGGCCGGGCGAGCCTGTGACGTCGCTGGCGGCACTGACGTGTCCTCTCACCGGCCTAGCGGCCCAGCTGGGCGCCCCCCAAGATGGCGGCGGCGGCTCCGCTCCCGGCGCCGGAAAAGGGCGTGAGAACAGGCAAGCCTTGCGCGTGCGCATTCCAGGTCCGCGCCCACTCCGCGGTCTCTGGGCCCCTCCGAAATCTCGCGAGAGCGGTGTTTCCGTGTTGGGAAGTGCCGCTGTTCCCACTTTCCGTCATGGCGCTGAAGGTGGCGATGGCCGTTGGCGGCACTGCGAAGTCAGGGCTCAGGCCAGCCCTCCTCTGCCGTCCTTGGGAGGTGAGAGCGGGGAGCGGGATGCAGGGACAGCAGCAACGCTCAGTGGGGGTCCTTGCCCCTCGGTGGGGTCTGAGGTGGGGCCTTCGCCTCCACAATGTCCTGGAATCCGATTGGTTGCAGGCCTGGGGAGAGGGCTGTGCTTTGGAGTTGATTGGCCGCCTCCGTTGTCAGTGAGGGGATTGGCTAAAGTTGGCACTGATCCGGCTTTTTCGTGGGGTTTTCATGTTGTGGTAGGGAGCTAGGGAAGGTGGGGAGAAGGGTCTTCGGCGGCCCGAGTGTCATCTCCCTAGTGCCATTGTGGGATCCCTTCCAAGGCGGTCACGTGTCTTGGTCTGCCTTGTTCTTGTTGCTTTGGAAACCGGGTTCCCTGCCTACGTTCCTCGGGTTTCTCCTCTTGTGAACTGCTTTGCCACATAACCCAGTGGAGATAGAGAATTGATCTTTGCCAGTACCCCCAACCCTTCCCCCAACATTCTTATAGTTCCAGTTGTCGCTCCACCACAGGTGCTTGGAATAGGAGGGAGCTAGGGTTTCTGAGGCTGGCAGGGTGGGAGGTCCCCTGGGGCTTTGCTACCGGAGCTCTCCGTTTAGGATCTTGGTTATTTGGGTCCAATTCCTTTCTCTTTACATACTTAAATGAGGATACTTTAGTTCTGGGTGGGTTGTAAGCCATCTGAAGCATCAGCGATCCAGGACTGGCCTGGAGGACAAAAGATATTTTCTCCAGGCCTGTCTACTGCACTGACCTACTGGGTGGCCTTGGGCCCGGCCCCTTCTCTATCTGGGCTTCAGTTTTGCCTCTTAAAGGGTTTCAAAAAGACCTAGCCACCACTGACCTAGAACCCAGCAACGTTGTTGACACTCCTTGTGAACACATCTCCTGTCTGCTTCTCCTCTTCCTGGGGAAGACCGCACTGTAACAGCTTATGCTTTATGAAATTCTATTTAAAATGCTCATTTCTAGCCCTGGCTGGCGTAGCTCAGTGGATTGAGCGCGGGCTGGGAACCAAAGTGTCCCAGGTTCGATTCCCAGCCAGCGTACATGCCTGGGTTGCAGGCCATAACCCCCAGCAACCGCACATTGATGTTTCTCTCTCTCTCTCTCTCTATCTCCCTCCCTTCCCTCTCTCAAAATAAATAAATAAAATTTAAAAAAAAACAAACAAAAAAAATAAAATGCTCATTTTTCCCATCTCGCTGATGAAAGAGACTTTATAGAGGCCCTGACAACTCTGGCAGCTAAGTTGCAACAGGGTCTTGGTGAAGACATTTGTCTCCTCACTGACCTCTCTTGTGTATGTGCTTGTGTCCATGTTGGGGTGGGCATAGGGGTCTGTGAACAATCCAGGCAGTGTCTTGCCCTGAGCCTGGCTGTTCTGCTTATGAGAACCTTTAGAAGTGAACCCCAGATCTTTGCTCCCACTAATTGGGAACTTGTGGGAAAACATGCAGCTACCATTGACACTTGAGCCAATAGAAACATGCTAAAGAGAAGCCTCACCAAGCTGTGGAGTGTGGGAGCCCTTTGGCAGGAACATATACCACCCTGGATTCCTTTCTGTAGCACTGTCAAAGAATGAGGGCTGATGGTACACCCTCCTGCTGTAGAAATAAGCAGGCAGCCCGTGCATATATCCCATCCTGCTGCATACTGAGCTCCTTTGATGGGTAACTTCACTGGGCCTGGATGTGAGGCAGAACTTCTAAAACTGTGAAGGAAGGTGTCTGCATCTGTTTAGAGCAAGGTCAGGGAAGTCTCTAACATGAGAGCTGTCTGGATCTTTGGTGGCCAAAGCCAGAAGGAACATCTAGCTTTGGGACCAGGTGAGGAAGAGGTTCAGCCCTGGTGGTGGTGATGTGATTTAAGGTCGGGGAGGAGAGTTGCACAGTCCAGAGCCATGCCTGGTACAAGGGCTGGCTCACCACCACGCCTGAGTTAGCTGTCCAGTGCCAGTGGACTTCAGAAGGCCAAAGCTCAGAGAATTACTGCCCAGAGAGAATTACTGCTAGGAGGGACAGGGGTCAGCCCAGCATCCCCTCCCGCCCCATTGAATACCAACAAGGGGTTTGTTGGGGTAAAGGGGCGGTATGCTTTTGCATGGCTCTGTGTGCCTTGCTAGGGACTGCAGAGCTCCCATACCTTCTCTTGCTCAATCCTTTAACAGTCACATAAAGTAGGTGACTGTTAAATCCTGTTCTGTGGGTTTCAAATGAGGACAGGAAGCTAAGCAAGGTTAACCTGTTGCTAGGAGTAGTGGATGTTGGTTCAGACTGAGGTCTCCCTAGCCCCAAAAGCCCTCCATCTCACCCTATATTTTCTGATATGCTCATTCATTCAGAAAATGTTTCTTGTGTCCTAGCTCTGGGCCAGGCATTCTGCTGGATCTTGGGGTGACAGTAGGGGACTAGGCAGACTTGGCTTCCACTTTCGGGGGCTTAGGGGTCGGGGAGGGAGCAAGGCAGTGACAACCTAGGGAGACTGTGGTTGGAAGGAGAGTAATTGGTATAGGACTTTGGAACCAGGGGTGGGTACCAATAGCTCAGCACCCTTAGGGCATCAGGGAAAGCTTCCTGGAAGAAGGGCAGTCTACACCTCCTTCCACAAGTTTGTACTGATAGCCTATAGATAAGCTGAATCCAAATACTGACGAGTGTTAGAAGGAAAATAGAAAAGCCCTGAGTGTGCCTGTGACTAAGGATCCAGGGGCCACATGGGTGGCCGAATATTCCCGGAGCATCTTGTCCTAGCAGTCACCCCACTGCTAGCTCCTGGCTTGGGTGGGTGAGTGGCACATCTGTGCTTCCAGAGCTCGTGCAAGTGCATGCATGCCTTGTGAAGACTGGCCAGGAGACTCAGATGGCCAGCCTCTGCTTGAGCTTTCCAGACTTCTAGGAGGAAGGCATGGCTCTTTGAGAAATGGCCACAGTGACTCTCTTGTTGGCTGGAATGCTCCGATGCAGCTCCACAGGCAAGTGGCAAGGCGTTCTCAAGTGAGAAAGAGGACCTTGGTTCTGTCCCCCCTCTTTGGATTGGGGAACACCCAGGTGTGCTCCCAGGTGGGGCACAGCAGGAAGGAAAGTATGTGGGCCTATAGCCCCCCTGCAGTGGGACCTTGGATGAGGGCTTCTCCCTCCAGGACAATGTGGGGACTCCAGATTGGTCACTTCTTAGCACCTGTCTTATTTGGCTTGGTGGTTTTTGTTCTGAAGCTGTCAAGCATGGCACCGATGTGGCCAAATGTGGCCAGTTCGGAGCTGGAGTTGGGGACATTTGTCATCCATGTAGGCTGGGAAGCAGCTTTGTGGTCCTTTACAAAAGCCTTCCAAAAGATTGGTGTCTGTTATTCTAAAAGTGGTTGGGTTTTTCCTGCATGGTTGCTTTGGATTTCTGACTCGGGAGGGCAGTTCCCAACAGTACTTGTCTTCGGAGTGCAAGGTGGGTTCTGTCTTTTTCTTCTGATCTCCATGTTCTGTATTTTCTCCACATTCTGACCACATGCTGCTCTTTAAAAAACATTTTACCATATTTATTTGATTTTTGGGGTAGGGAGAGAGAGGAACATTGATTTGTTGTTTCACTTATTGATACATTAATTGGTTGCTTCTTTTTTGTGCCCTAACTGGGGATCGAACCTGCAACCTTGGTGTATAGGGATGACGTTCTAACCAACTCAGCTACAAAAAAGATAAAATGATTATTGGGGTGGCCCTCTCATGTATTGTAATGATTTCCTTTAATTGTACCATGTTTAGCATGCCAACTTTTCCATGTTACAGACATCACTGAATAGGAATAACTGACCAAAAAAGAATCAGAAACAACTGAAGTTGTGGGGGGGGGGGGACATAAACATTTTCTTTAAAAACTGACCATGGAGCTGAAGGAAGCAGAAAGGATTGTGATGACCCTCCATGGGGCTTCAGCAGGCTGGTCCCTGGGAAATGGCTCTGGAGCTGGTTGTCTGGGCCTGCATTGGGTGCTGTTGTTCACTGGGCAGTGTGCATGGATGAAGTGGAGGGGTGACGTGGAGGGGGTGACATGCAGGGCCTGTCTGGGCACTGTGGGGACAGTTGCTCTTCCTTGCCAAATTGACTTTCTGGGCTGGGTAATAACCACTGGCATCTGGGTTCTCTTTGCCAGGTTGTAGGTGCCCACGAGGCCCCCCGGAGATGCTTCTCAGTAAGTACTTGCCTGGGTGCACACGTGTATGTATGGTATGTTTGTGTTTGCACATGTGTGTATATTTGTGTTCGTGCATGTGTGCCCCTGTCTGTTGGTGTGTAGATGTGAGTATGTGCTGTGCCTCTTTGTTCCCTAGTCCTCTGTCCTTCCCTCTGAGGTGTGGTTTCCAGAAGTCACCCATTCCTCCTCCTTACCTTCTTACCTGAACTGTACTAGACGGTATCCCCAGGGAAAAGGCAGAGTCTTGTTCCTCCAACCTTGGCTGACACAAATCTTCTTTCTTCCTGTCCCCCCTTTAGCAACAAACAATTGTGAGTATTCTTTTCATCTGCCAATTAGGTTTGGGGCTTTTACTTGCTTTGGGATTGACCCAGGTCCAGGTGGGGGCAGTGACTGTTTCTGTGTAGTTCTCCCGACCACAGAACCCCTGTGATCAGCCCTGTCTGGGATGGGGTGGGGCACAGGGTAAGGTACCCCAAGCTGGCACCTCATGATTTGCTGACCCATTGGGTCAGTGCTGGTGGGAGGAAGGGAACGAAAGGC